CAACGACGACGGCGGCGACGGCGGCTCGTCCCCTTAGCGCTAATTAGTGCGGGACACGCACGCCCCACGACGACTCGTGTCGGGCACGTGTCGTGCCCGGAAACTCGCTTAGCGCGCGACAAACAGACCGTTTCCCATCGTACACGCGCTCCTTCCGGTCGTTTCCACGAGGAAACGTGGCCGAGGCAGCTGATTAAATCGCCATTAAAACGTGTCCCTATCGCTTCCCGATCGGCGCTTCCTTTTATGTTCTGCTTTTGCGCGGGTATTCGCTTAAGAAAGAAAAAAAAAAACAAAAAACAGGTCGACGGGTTTACGTCCGAGTTTGGGATCGGTCGCAAACGTTACTCGATATTACGCGTCATAAAGAGATTACGCGCGTGGAGATTTGACTCGTTGAACGGTCGCCTTATCGTTGGACTGACCAATTTTTAATCAGCAAATTTGTCGACCATAAGAAATTGGGACACAGTAAGAAAATCAGAATTTTTTTATAAGTATATCAATTTACGATAAACAATTTGTAATATATTAACATATGTATATATCTTTTTTTGGTTATTGTATATAATATATAAATATATCTTAGCATATTAATTTTTTAAATATTATTATTCTATTCTATTATTCATTAATATAAATCATTACTCTAAAACTAGACTGAGAAAATTCTTAAAACAAGATTAATGAACAATCACTAACATAAATGCGACGAATAATCAATATAAAATATACTTTTTTCATTATACATATAAAAATAATAATAATAAAATTTTATATTATTTTTGTCATGTTATGATAAATCGTAATGAATGGCGTTTAGTCTTTTCCGAGACGCTTCCATAGAGAGCCGAAAGTCGAGATTCGGGACGGTTAGTCGCTCTAATGATCGCTGAACGAAGTGGTCGTCGCCGACTAACGCCTTCGCGATTACTTGCCTTTTCGTTGCGATGTCGTTGTGCACGGAAAAAAAAGATTTGATTGAATTAATCAAGTATCTGAATCGAATATGAACGATCCAGAAATTCCGATTGAAGTAACCCAAATTCTGTTTAAGTTAACAAGATTTTTGGTAGACTAACCAAACATGTCTGGTTATTTAAATTACATGTTTGGTTAGTCTACCAAAAATCTTGTTAACTTAAACAGAATTCGGATTACTTCAATCGGAATTTCTAGATCGTTCATATTCGACAAGATACTTAGTTAATTCAACCAAATTTTGTTTCTGCGCAATGTTGAATGTTGAAATAAACAATACAATTTCCTAACGTCTCTCTCCCGCGCGATAACGGATATAGAAAATGCAGAGTGCGTCGCGTCCGATGAATGTTTCATGGCGTTAGGTTGCAGTGTTGTAGCAACACGAATCCGCATTTCTTTGTAGAAAAGTTGGTTTAGGGGTGCGGCGAGAGCGGTTATTTTCTCCTCGGGAACCTGTCGATAATCAACCGCGCTGGATTACAGGGAAAATCGTGCGATTGTGGCTGCACGTTGCACGCAGCGCGCACTCGGTAGAGCAGACTCGGCTACGGGGATCCCGCATGCGATCGCCTTTGATGCACGGCGCCTCGCAAATGCGTTTCCCGTCTGGATTTTCTGCTCATTGCGTGCGGCAATAATTTGCCCGCTCAGAAGCAACCCACAATGTCGCGAGTGATTTGTCAAACTGGGTTAATCTAGTGTCATTTAGTAATCTTGCGTCGCGTTTGAAAAACGACAGAGTCGACGTCGCGAATTACTAGTTTCTATGCAATCACGATAAATCGAGATTTCCCCTTCGTTCTACGTCACTCTACGAACTGTAATGCAACACAGTGTTTCGCGCTCGAGTTTATTTCTGCTCTTTCCTTTTCTGTTAACATTTTCCGGCTCGCTCGAGTCGAAGAAGGAATCGCCGTTGTCGTGTGGTTCCACGACGGATTCGTGTTGCTATTAACACCTGAGAAGTGAAAGCGAAATTTGTAGCTTTTAAGTGTGTTTAAGGGTATCTGGTATAAAAAGAAAATTAAGATGCAACGGCAATTTCGCGGCAGTTACGCTGATGACGGCTACTGACGAATTTTACTATTCGTTGTGTCGGGCAAATTTCTGCCTCGCGGGCGACCTCGTACGGCGAAAGGAAGAAAAATAACCGCTCGCGTGTGCGTGACGAGACACTATTTCCATACGAAACAGCCTGATGATCTGCCGATATATTTATTGCGGGCAATGTGCGTGTTCGTTTGGGTCTGCCGCGCGACATACAAACCTCGAATGAATCAAATCCGGAACTAATCTGATTGCATGCCAGTCCATCTTTTCCGGCCCTTACATTGCAAAAGGGGATTTTGTCATCGTTATCCAATGAGACGGCGAAAGAATACTTTGTGACGACGCATTTTCCATATTTAAACGTTGACTAATGATTTTGTCCACGTTGATATTTGCGTATATACCGCGAATTCAACGGTAATTAAAATGAAACAAGCGGGTACCATAAAATTGCATTAACACATTGGTATGTTCATAGAAAATCGAAATCATCTTTTATATGAAAAAAAAAAAGCTTTACAAACGTAATGTGCATGTTGTAAAAATAATTTGATAGGATATATTTAGGCAAACAAAAGCTGATATACAATCAAATTCGAGGATGCAAAAGCCAATAAAATCCAGAAATATTATAGTGTAATAAATAAATTTACCATAAAAATCAATGTCTATATCGAAGATATCATTTTGATGAATCCAAATTTTAGTCAACCAATAAATTAGATTCATTGATACAGACATTGTGATCTACAGCAACTTTTTGATTGCGCTACAATACTTCTGCGCATTGGCTTCTATTGGCTCGTATATCTTTGAATTTACTTTAATAAGTAAGACGTGTTGTTTCTAGGATTTGCGTTATTTCATGCAGAAGCATGTTCATACCGAAATCATTTGTCAACTTACAAAAATCACATACACACATAATGCCAGATTTATGCACGTTTCTATCGATTAAAGCTCAAGCTGAATCTTAGTCTGAATAGTTTAAATTCAAATCAAAGTTTAATTGACGTTGGCATTAGACGCTTTAGTGATGTTCCTTTCTATTTTCTTTTGCAATCTAAAGTGGACAGCGGCGCGATATCGACCAGGTGTGTCGTGTATACGTTCTCTGCGCGATTCTTTCATATGCGAAAAGGGTCGCATAGAGACGTGGGTGTGACATTCGTGGAGACACCCTATTGAAGATGCACCACAGACAGGTTGTGTTTAAATGCGCGTGTCGATATAAAGGCGCGGTCACACACAAGTCCGTCGTTGGTGCCCATCGTTTTTCGTCGCGCCGAGTTGAATAAAATGCACATTACGGCGCTATCTCATTTGTGCGATAACGTGCATCAAGCAAATGCAACTTTTTGTAGGCGCACTCCAGAATGACACACGACGCTTATTACCCTTAATGAACCTAATGACATATTAATAATGCACGGAGGTATGAGTTAAAATGTTTTGCCAATTTGTCTGAGGAGGAGGGACATTTGATTCGTAGGCTTGGATCCGCGGAAATGTCTTCCGAGGTATTCTTGGTGATAATAAGCAATTTACGTGGCTCGTTAAAGAAATCGTTATGTCTCACGGCAAAATCAACTGTTCTCTTTCTCTCTCTCTCTCTCTCTCTCTCTCTCTCTCTCTCTCTCTCCCTTTCTATCGTATATTTCAATTGAAATTATGAAAATTACTTTCGCTTGCTAAATAGGCGTTGTTTTCGAAGTCTTTGTGATGGAGAAACTGACAGATTATTCAGATATCGATATTAGTACGTCTTGCGTATATACATATAGTTACAAAGGTCTGCGAATGTTAAACGAATGTTGCCGGTCGATTCTTGGAAACTAGGAGGATAGGTCTTTTTCGCCTTCATTCTCTACGCGTCGCGCGACCTGTCTTCGGACATTTCGCCGATCACAGGATAACAATGGTCTGAATAATGTACGGAGTGGTCTGCCATGGTGGCAACAAGGCAGTTTCCATAAATAATTCGAAAACCGCCCCCGAAGAGTCGATCGTCGTTTCTATTCGATGTGTCGCGAAGAGCAATGCGCTCGAGATGCGTGACGAAGTGAAAGAAAAAAATAATGATCAGTCAAAGTGCGACTCAGGACGAACAAGACAACTAGATTCGAGAAGAATGTAATGATATTATAACGCAAATACGTATAACTATTAGAATAACTTTAGGACTTCTCGCTTGATTCTTCCAATTAATTGATATTGTCGAAAGACATGAAGGCGATGAAGAACATAATATCGGAAAAATTCGCTCCGTTATCGAGATTATTTCTAAGCTGTCCGCTTGGCCGTCTCTCATTTCGGTGTAGAGACTGAGGGCAGAAGCTCGTTACGAACAATTGCAGTTATTGATCGACGGTATGCAGCAGCAACATTTGGTCAAAGACCGCGGAGAAAGAAGTTTAAGGGAGAACACGCGACAAGCTGTAATTCCGAGGACGCAACTTGGGCGCACACGAGTATAGTAGTAACGTAAAAATTAGATATACAAAGTAGGGGCTTGTTACCAACGATTGCAATTATCGATGCTCACGCAATACTCGCGTACTCCGAAACTTTGTCATATGGTGTCGTCCACCTCGCTCGCGCAGCCCGGTTAGCGCGTTAAAGAAAGAGACTCGAAGCTTCTCTCACAAAGAACAGATCACAAAGAGAAGTACACTCTCGAGACTTCGCATTAAGTATTTAGGACATGCAAAAAGAGAGGAACTACACGCGAAAGTAATACCACACATTACGAACTCCTACTTTACGCGTTCTCAACAACGGGGACTGCACGCTTTAAAGCGTCATTGGTCGCGTTATTCCGTCGCGAAGTTGGATGCAATTCTCGAGGGCAGAAAACAAGAGAAGTCCCGCAAAATAAATGTGTACCGCGAAGTATCGCCGATTTCGCGTCGATTGCGAAGAGATTTGACTCGAGACTCGTGTTTCGATGGTCGTCGGAGACTTACCGGTGTGGATGTAGGTATGCTTCTTCATGTCCGACTTCTGGTGAAACCTCTTGCCGCAATATTGACAAGGGTAAGGCCTCGTGTCGGAGTGGATCAGGAGATGGGTGCTGAGTGTGCTCGACCGTTTGAAGGCTTTGCCGCACTGCTTACACTGTTGTAACAAACAGATCAAGATTACCTCGGGTTACTCGTCTGTTTGACGTGTATATTTATGCTGAGGAGAAAAGATATCTAAAAAATAGTAAATATTTATTTTTTGGATACACTAATGACGTATTTATTTAAATCTCAATTCTTTTATCTAATTTATATATTCTTTTATCTAATTGATATAAACAGTTGCTTATAATAATGCAAGAATAATCCAACCCGCAAAAATATGATTTTTGAATTTTTCTTTTACTAATGAATAGTCCGTACGTCATTCTATATAAAACAAAAAATCCAAACCTTATGGACGTCTAAAATTTATTAAAAACAGTTTATATGTTATTGTAAATTGTACAGTAAATATATTATTAGTACCCACCGAATAAATATTCACTACTTAGATATTTTGTCTCTCAGTACATGCATACATTTTCGATCATCTTCGCAAATAATTGTACGCGCAATCATCTTCGTAGAATTTCCTGTATTTATGAGAATTTAAATTATTTCACATGAAAATTTCTGTCATAAATAACGGAATGGTAACCAGGCGAAAACTCGATAACGGGAAACAATATCTTTAGCGCGGCTAAGAATATTTGTCTGGACTTGTGGCTGCGTTGAAACTCGGTTGAGATAACTGAGAACACTTTTGATTTGACCAGATACCTCTTATAGAAATTCCTCTGTTCCTTAACAACGCGAGTTCTCGTTTGATCAGCAGACAACAGAAAAATCAGTTGCACAAACCGAGTTTTTTTCCGAACACAAGAACATTCTCAAAGATCCTGTAATGCGAGTTGACAGATTCCCATTCCGTCGTTAATAGGAATTCCTTCCGCTGACAAATCACCGTCGCCTAACTGTTAAGCCGCTAAGCAGCTAATTTATCAATTCCTTCTCGACAACTCGTGTGGCCGTGCACCGCACGCGATATCGATTGCATCCCTCTCGGGAGAATTCTTTTTGCGGTTGCGCCTCTTTTTTATCTTGCAATCGCGGGATCCATTCCATTTCGCATCGTGCATATTACATTGCACTCTTTATACATGTATTAATAATTATTTAAATTTTTTTACAAACTCTATGATCGAGGTCTGGTCGATGCTCGTGTTCACAAATTTATTGCGACCTACGCGAATGCTTAAACAAATCCGACTGGTTCTGTTTCAATAATAAAATAGAGCGTTCTATTCTTTCTCCGTCCGTCCCCACCTCACCTTCTTTCCGGGAACTTCCACTTTTTCTTATTTTTCTTATACTTACGACAATTCTCATAATTGCCGGGGAACATAACGACGAGTTCCCGCGGCGCGACTCCTCCAGCGCGATAAAGTCTTTCGCTTTTCAAATGAAAGGATGCGCGGGAAGGGAATGAAAGCGAACGCGACAAGGGTGGACAAGGGAAGGAAGGCGCTCCTGGGCGCCGGGACGCCAGGCACACCTGTGTTCATGAGGAGCGTCGTCGTTCGTTTCTTTCTCTCTCTTTCTTTTCTCTCTCTCTCTCTCTCTCTCTCTCTCTCTTTCTCTCTCCCTCCCTTCGCCGACTTATTGTCACAAACGGGCGCCAGTCGTTACAATGGCGCGGCGCGGTTCGATGCGTGTCCAGGCTGACAATATACACGGCGTATGAATATGCCCAGCGCGGAATATTATTACGCGCGCGCGAGTACACGAGTGCAAGTACGCATGATTCACGCTGCGCCACGATCAATATGGGGAAGCGACCTATCTTCACGCGATATTCGACTTCTTCCGCCGGTAAACCGCGTCCCGGACTTTAGTCTCGCCCTGCGGAATTGACCGCTGCTCGAAGGTGCCGCCAATGGATGATTGTGTGAACGGTAATGCGTGATTGTCGTTGTAGAGAATTTGTCTCAGCGCAACTCCTCCGACAGACTAAATTTGAAAACGCGAGGTCTGCATATGAGGTACTCTAGAAACAATTCTGTATGCTGTAAATTTCTTAAAATGAAGTTTCATTCGGAAAGTAACATGACCATCGAGTCGTTTGAATTCGAATGATCACTCAATAGAGAGAATTCTTCACTTTGAGTCGTCGCGTGAATATTCACTCGAAATCACTAAAATATAAATCTGATATGCTCTACGCTGAGAGAAGGAAAATACTTAAGATATAAGTAAATTATTTATTCGATAGTTACTGATAACGTATTTAAACTTATACTAATATAACATATGTTTTGAATAAGGAAACATACATTTTTTTTAATTTTAGCTTCTCATGGAAATAATTGTTTATTTTACTTAAATAAAAGAATTTAGATTTAAGTAAATATGTTACTAGTATCCATCGAAATAAATATTTTTTTTATTTTACAGATATTTTATAGAAATATACATCAATTTCAATCGATTAAAACACTCACTCATATGAAGACAGAATTCTCTCTAAGCTTGAGTAAAACATTCACTCTCGTCATTTCGACAGTATTTTTACAATCACTTCGAGGGAAAACGCTAGCATTTTTTACTCGTTTTAAGTTTAGTTCCATAAATTTAGAGAGTATTTTTCATGAATCCTTCGTTAGATTATTATTTATACTGCTACTTTGTAATTCTCTTGCTTCGACATTTTCACGCGCAGCCACAAACGCGAGGATGTTTAATATCAAGTACGAATATCAAATAATATGAATTCCAGCGTTTAATTGGAACGTGATACATTGGCCGTGATTTATATTGAGTAGGATTTTACATTAAATTTTATATTAAATATATCCTCGTGAATTCGTCACCTTTCAACCTGACGAAATTGCGACTCGCACCACGCGAGCCACGTTTCATCCAACGGCCCACACGTAATGTCGAAATTCTGAACAAAGCGAGACAGTGACGAGCCTACTACTTAACCGTAATTAAAGCAACATGCTTCCGTCTCAATGGCGCGTTACAACGGTCACGACATTAACGACTCCCACGCATAACAATTGTCACCCCTAATTGTTCCCGCCGCCCATATGGCAAGATATTCTCGTAATACGGCCACCGGTGGGACGCGTCGTCCCGTTCGCGGATTCGATGAAAAAACAAGGGAAAGACAAGGGAAAGCAGCCACGACAGCGGGGGTGAGGTTATTCTTAATGAACACCAGCAGTGCGCCCAAGGGAGATGCGGCCGAAGGAAACGGGGGATTGTGGGAAGACGACGATGCCGTACCTTGCCATTGTCGCCGCACGAAAGCGCCCGTTTCCGGTACCGGCTCGGAAACAAAGCCCTGAGCCGGCGGCCGTCCTCGCCCTCGGCCTCGACCGCCTTCCAGCTTCTCCGCGCTGCCCGCGATTCGCGACGGAGGGACACTTGAAAAATCGCGTGATTACCGTTAATCTCTCGCGCCGCTCTTTGTCCGCCGTTCTTCTTTTTCTGTCGGCGACTCTACCGTGCCGCGCGTCGTCGGGACATCTGTCGCTCGTCGACAACGACGCGGATTAAATAAAGGAGGCTTGCCGCGGCTTTCCCACGGATGAGGAGGTGTATACATCGCGGTAAAGACCCGCAAGCGCACCACCGCGACATTTCGCGAACACGGGAAAGCGATGATAATCGCGGATCGATCGGTCTCGCGTTCCGACGGCGCGGTCACATTCGAGGTACTAGCCGCGGGGTTTGATATTAGAAGCGCCGAGGGTGACGTTCCACCTGATCCCAACGTGACTCGCGGTGTATGAACGAGTAATTTCCGCCGGGGATTTTGCGTGGCAGTGTCGGGCAGTGTCGGGCATTAATCGATGAACGTTCTCTGTGACTAAAATCCGCATCAGTAGTTTTGTCACTTAAAATCTGTTTTAATTGAGACATTCAAATTTAACCCTACAGTCGTCGCGCTACTTTTCGAACACGAGACGACGCATGGGATCTTGAGAGATCCCAATATAAAAAATTATTTTATATTTTTTATGTTGAGAACTTAAATATTTTCTTTATTTAATTAGGTTTTTGGGTTCATGTAACATATAAGAAAATACTATTTTGGATATATAATATTCTCTTAAAGACCTCATGCGACGACTGTAGAGTTAAATTTCGAATTAGATGTGAACTTTTCAATTGACTTGTGTGCGACTATAAGTATAAGCCACATATATAAGTCACATGTATCATATAATTTAACTGAAAACTTCAGATCTAATTCTGAATTAAAATCCGAATATCTCATATGAGACAAGCACGTTTCTGACAAATCAATAATTACATTAATTGACTGCGGAAAAAATGACGTTGATTCAGTGATCACAAAATTCGCGAAAAAAACAATTGGAGTGGTGAGAGTGGAAATGTTCAATTTTCTCGATATTTAATCACACAACCGATACATTTATCGTATATTTTTTGTATTTTTCACATTTTCTTTTTTCTTAGTGAATTTTTTCGGCAAAGTGATAAACAAATAAATAAATTTTAAATCGCGGAAAAATAATGTGCGACTCAATTGGTGGTAAATATTTGAAGCAATAAGCGTCGACATTTCATCTCGCGATCGATAAATTTATTGTGTATTATATTTCTTTCTCGTATTATGTATATTTTTCATACATTTCCTCTTTTCTTTCAGCCAAAAGAGGTAAATAAATAAATAAATGAATTTTAAATTGGACAAGAATAACGTCCAATTCAGCTAACTATAAAAAATTGGAGCAACAAGCATCGTTATTCAAACATAAATTCAACGCTACCTTCGAAACCGAGCTGTAGCACGAAATACAGTTTGCACTCGTGCAGCAAGTTCTGTACCTGTCCACGTGTACGTGGACGAACGCGCTCACGCGTGTGTGTGGCCCACATATCCCTAATGTGTCGGGTTACGGTTACGTGTCGGGCGTAAAACCACGGCGAAGCGAGTTTCTACTTCCATTCAATCGCGCGTGTAATTGCGGCGGGGTCCTTTTGTCGAGGTCCGATATTCGTCAAACGTTTGACCCGTTTCCTCGCCCTGACGCGCGCGAGCGAGCGAGCCCGACGCACTTAAGGGTACTTACGCCCCGAAGAAATTCGTATCGCGTGACTCGCGTATCGCCCGGCGATGTTTCTTTTCTGGAACGAGAGATCGACCGGTTCTCGCCCGGTATGTGTGTAAATGCCCAGGTAGAGCTTCTGTGCGTACGTCGGGGAAACGCGGCGGGTCGCGACGTCACGACGAGCCCAAGAGGATGGAGACGAAAGAGTTGGACGACTCGTTCGCCCGGATTACTTTTCGTTATGTTAATTACGCCGCATTTACGTTGTACGTTGTAGATGTGTGGTGGCTAATGACGATTTCTCGGCTGTGCGTGAGCATTCGACACTGCGTCGAGATGGCCGTGAGGAAAGTCGCGGAATCAAAGACACGTCCGAATGCTGTGCTGAGCATTAAACCTCCATTGCATCGTATGAAGCGAACGCTCAGTTGAAATTTCATTTTTTAATTATATAAAGCTGACTTGACAGTTGGCTTTGAAACTTTCTGATTTTTCATTTACAACCTTTTAGATTATATTTGTATGGTTATTTTCTTAATTTCGTTGGCATCCCGAGTAAAAAATTTGGCTCTATGTTAATTCTACGCAGTGGGAGCTAAGTTAGTATAATAGATTTAATTATAATGATTCAAATTACTCCTACTTTGACTCTGATAATATCCGAAATTTTCCTTTTCATTTTCTTCAATGTCAAAATAGATTGTATTCCGACGCGTTTTTTTTTTTTTTTTTTTTATAAATGGGCACATGAATTTTATTCTTAGTTGGATTAGTAGTTTTCACTTTATATTCGATGTGAACATGATTTGCCTGGAAAGTAAAATTGAGGAAAGTACAAGAATCAGTTAGGCTTGTAATACACATGACATATTGACTGAATCAGGCACCGCGTTACTACGTTTCACTGTGTGTTGTGTTTGTGTGCAACGAAAGAAAACTAAAAATACTATCGATATGAATAAAAGTAGCGAAAAGAGTAGGTTTTTGAGTAAGAGTTTGATCACTTAGTTCGCGTTGGTTGACGTTTGCTACGATAAATCCTTTTCTCGTTTGCACCGAATATATATGTGTGGCACGAAGGAACACATCGATTTTCAAGTAAATCAACGTGACCTCGTCACCAGATTGGCCTGGAGCACTTTGCCGTTGTGGCTCATAAAAAAATGGACACCACATATCGATCATCGGCGACCTTTTTCGAAAGCTGTCGCGTTCTGAGAAGCTCCGCTCATAAACTATTAATCCGGCCGAGAATAATGTTCCTGTCTTCGCTTATAGAAGAACCGCCGATAGGCGACTTAACTACAAAGCCTTGATTGAAGGCACAATTGGTAGTAAAAACGCTTCATTCTTTCCCGAGTCTTTTTTCATTGAGCACTTTTATCAATCTCGCGCTATGCCATTTTTAGATATTCAGAGCGCATTCGGTAATATCTTTCATCGATCAAGAATTAATCATTAAAGCCAGTGAGGATTTTTTTTTGTTAAATTATTCTTCATCGAATCTATAGTACTTAAAATTTTTCTCAATATCTCGAGTATTACACATGTGTGTAAATAAAATTTATCTTACACTTATCTTAACTTATCTTACGGATAAAATAATGTAGTAAAAATTACATTAAAATCATATTTTTTGCACAATATTTCTCGTAAAACTGTATTGAAATTATTATTGCAGTGTATTATAGTATAAATTACTATTTAACAAAAATAGTAAACCCAACGATCTATCTGAATACGATATAAAAAATAATTTAAATAATTATAAAAATTTTGTGATGAAAGGTCGATGTTGTATATTTTGTTTTTAAACAAATACATAGTAATTTCGGTCATAATTCCATAATAATAATATTTATGGTTCAAGGTTGCAAAAGCTTTTGTTGCAATTTTTACTACTATATTTTCCCTGCGTATGTGCTCTTAACATCGACCAGCCGTTTATATTCATAGGTCAGAATTAGTTTACACTGCGCGACATATTTTCCGCGATGGACAGGTTGCGCGTGAAAGCTCTGAAAAACGGAAAAGAAAGCGAGGGAACGCTAAACCGGGGCCAATTACTGGCGGTGCCAGCGCGATGTGTTGTTTAGTCGCGATCGGCCGATCGGTCGAGTTGATCGCGCGCGAAACGAGCCGCGTGTGGAAATCGAAGCTTCTTTACGAGCTCGGGACGCGCCCGCCAATAAAAGCCGGAGTCAAGTGTTTACCGACCTCGTAAAATCGGCGTCCTACGTACGCGAGAAAGAGAGAGAGAGAGAGAAAGAGAGAGAGAGAGAGAGAGAGAGACGCCGGCGTATGCGCGTCTCGCGATCCACTTGCCGCGATGGGAAACATCGTGGAAGCCGGGGTCGAGATTTCTAGGACCGATATTCGCTCGCCTTCCTCGGAAGCCTATCGGCCAGTTATCTTTTGCGGCGGCGATTTGCAATGAGCTCCATGTGGTCTGCGCGAACTGCCGCGTCATGAAAATCTTTCTTTACGGCGCGACGCACGCCTTTTTCCGCGCTGGCTCACGACTCTCGAACAAGAACTGGGTTTTTCCGCGTCTCAGGCGAGGAGTAGAAATTGAAAGATAACGCGTGAAGTATCTTCGAGATGTTCTTGCGTACTTTTCGACCACTTGCTTTGCTTATAATACCGTTGGAATCCCTCGAGAGAATATCTTTCTCTCCGCATCGGAATAACGCGTCATCTGTTCTCTCAGAGTCGACAACTGCGGCGCTGCCCGGGTGAAACGGGATTAAGTGAATGAGGGTAAAGAGATACGATATATTAACACTCACTTGAAAAGTCCTTTCGGTCGAAGAGGGCGGTGTGAGAGGCGAGTGATGAATTTGCCGCGTAATTATAGGGGTCGAGGACGGGCTCCCGGTGGAGGACGGTGCTCTCGTTTCCCTGGCCTCCCTCTCGCACACCGAGCCCGGCGACCAGATTTCACTTTTCCTGCTGATACTCGACGAGATGTCGCTCGGCTTCGTGCTGAGGTTCAACGGCACCTCCTCGTCTGAAAAGACACATAATCCGTCCATCTTGTTGCTTAGCGCTCATTAAACGCCATTTATTTCGTACTCTGGACGGTCATTTTTACTTGAACCGCACGCAAATGTGATTTTGATGACGCGACTGTGCAACTGCGGATTAAGTTATTCATGCGATATTATATAAATTTTCTGCTAGTATGAAATAAATGGATCACAGAATGGATCACAAAAGTGATCTGTAATCTGCGGTTTATTAATGATCGATCTGCCGTTCGATCGTTATTAAGGGCAGAGAAATTTTAGAGTTTTTTTTGCACTTTAATATCGGAGACACAAATATGTGCGGATCGAAGAGAATTAATTGGTCGTAATTACTTTCTGTCGATGCGGCCGAGTCGAGCGACGGCGAATAAGCGATGCCTCCTGCGACAACGTTGTTCGATCGATAATACCCACTTACCGATAATTGCTCGGTGGTTTGTCTACTTTTTTAAGGTACACTTCACTGAGCGTTCTGATAGGTCTACCGACTGAACCAGATATACGCGGACAGTTTCCCTAAATTTAACCTCCCCCACTTTCAACCGTCACGATCGCGATCAAATTCTCATTCACTTAATTAAACATATTAAGGTTAATTGAACATAGTAGGGTTTGTCCCCATAAGTAATTGAGTAAACAAGTAAATAGATAACTCGTTTATTGGAAGTACAGGCGAAAAGAATAATTTGGTTGAATTGACCAGATAGCTCTAGTGAAATATGAACCGCGGCCAAAATTCCGATTGAAGTTACCAGAATTCTGTTCGGGTTAACAAGATTTCTGGTTAACCCGAACTTGCAATTGTTTGAGTTGAGTAGTTGCAAGCTCTGGTTAATCAGAAATCTTGTTAACTTGAACGGAATTCTGGTAACTTTAGTTGGGATTCTGGCTCGTTCATATTTCACCAGATATTTGGTTAAAGCAACCAGATTTTCTTTTCGTGTAAAGTCAGATTTCTCGGTGTTCAATTGGAAGGAAATCCGAATAAGAGTCTCACCGAATTTGGCTTTCTCGGGCGTGCATCTTCGGGGTGATCCGGGACGTGCTGGGCTGAGGGGTTCCGGATGAATGGGCGAGCAGTTCGTGACCGGTGTCGTCTGTTGGGACGGGATTCTTGTAGGTGGTAGCAAGGAATGTGGCAGCAGCAGGCCCACGTGACGGGCCCACCAGGCACTGCCGGATGACCCATAGCCACCGTACATCAGACCACAGCGCATTTCTGAAACAAAAGGATCGCCGCGCGTTGAGCGAAATGTGAAATCTGGAGGTTCGACACCCTCCGTGTAACGTTAGATTTTTGCGGGTCGTTTTCCTCTCAGGGTGGGATTGCGTCGTTCGCAGCGCGATCGGTAGACACTCGCCGATCGTATCGAGTAACATCTCAAGTGCAAGGAATGAAAAACCGTTGTTGCTCGAAGTTGCCATACAACTCACAAGATTTCTAATTTTTCCTTTGCATTTCGAACACACAAACGAGCAAACAAACAAGTAAATAAGTAAATTAGATGAGGTAAAATTTTTGTAAAAATACTTTTAATTCTTCGTTTACCGGGGCGCTCTTCGCGATGCTTGCGGCTTTGTACTTATGACGAATCTCGCGACTTACCTCGCGCGGCGACGCTGGCGCTGAGAGGTAGACTTTGCAGTCTCAGATCGGGGTTGTAATTTGAGACGAGGGTGAAGGCGCTGAAACGGTCAGGGACAGGTTGACAGAGGCCCGAGGGTGCATTGGTCGAGGCGATGGTGCTCGAGCTGCCCCCGGGCACACCCGGGCTCCAGGGCGACGGCGGCAGCGCGATCACGCTCGGACTGCTGGGCGGCGAGAGGGTGACCGGGGGTGACAAGGCACCCGCCGGGATTCCTACGGGATTGCAATGGAGTTCCGGTTTCATGTGCCAAGTTCGAGGTACCGCTTCTGTTACGGGAAAGTAAAAAGTATGATTTACGACATCGGCTTCAGTCGAGAGTCATTAGGAGGGTAATAAATGTCGCGAGGGAGAAGTCGGACGTGTTTAAACGTAAATATATTTCGACCGTGACACCATATAGATAAGAGCATTGAAAGTGAAAATTGCTGAACTCTAAAAGCGAAATGGACATCGCTTATTTCGACAGATCCGTTCGTGGAAAAAATCGCATGTGATGCAGAGTGACTAGATTTCCCAGCCTCGAATCCGGGATATTTCATAACAGTGTATGCAAATCACTGATATTGTACATACATAAAAAATATTTTATTTGTAGACATATGAAAAATAATTTAACAAAAATGAAAACCTGCTGCATACGGTAGATAGAAACTATTACTGAAATAAAATTATTATTATCCATACCTAAAATTTAAAAAAAGAAGCAAATCTGCCGAAGCTATTAATTCTCTTGAACGTCCTTTTTTATCAGAAGGATTTTAAAAATCCTCAAAGCCGGAATAAACCGACAGTTTGGCCGAATCCGGGATATAGAGTAGAAAACCGAGACTATCCCGGGAGAAACGGGATGTCTAGTAACTTTAATAATATCGAGAAATTTGTTTAATAAACATCTATTCTTGAACATAAATCTCACGTGTAGAAAATAGGATAGTCACTCTAGTGATTTTGCGCACAGTTGCATCCAACTGTTGGCGTTATTCCGTAGCCGATCGGCTGTAATTTCGTATTCGCGTTTGGCGTGTCTGCTGGAACCGCTCTATTTCTGTACCGTTTAATGTCGAAAATTATCATGAGACCTCCGCGGAATAAATAAACCGCGAAAACGTTAAGTGTGAGCTGGTATTCCGCGCGAGAGCATGCGTAGAAGCCGCATTCCGTGAACGCGTTCATTATGTACACGAAACATATCCGTTAACAGAGGAATGAATAATACATGGAGCCTTGGAGCGGATTCTTTCGTGACGCGTTAAATCTGATGACGCCGATCGCGAGCAAGCGAGCGAGCGAGCGAGCGACGCGATCGAAATTGTTTCGCCGATCGCACGTTTCGCATGAATGAAGAATGATTACGGGCCAAATCACGACCGTGGCTGCCGTAGTTGCGAGAGCCGCATCTTGAATAACAAAGTGCCGAAATGTGCCTCGCTTCACTTACCGACTGAGACGCATGCGCAAGCATACACACTCTTTAAATCAAATCGACGCCACTGGGCTATCATTTTTATTGTTTGTTATTATTGTGAAGAAGTGTCGTCACGTGACACTTGAAACACATGCACGACGCTTCCGCACGTCGAGACGCGAAATTTCACAAAATAACGCCGTGAATGAATATCGCCGCGTGCGAAAGCCTTATAAATAACAACTCAGATAAATAAGAGGCAAAAATCACAAGCTACAATCAGTTGTTTTTTGCGCGCGCACATATTTTTTATGCAAGATAGATACGCGACATTTGAATATTTTACTATGCATGCGTATTTCGAGAGACACAATGTCCCGTCTCCACACACACACATACATAATTGAAAAAAATTTCCTGCTATATATTTATACGAAATTAACTCGATATTATCTTTGGATTTGTTCGAGAGTCTTCTCGAAGAAGATATGTTTTTATCAATCCAATTGTTATACCGTACTGTATGATCATACCGATGATGATCTCGTGAACGTCGAAGAAGATGCACGCTGCAATTCGATTCGGTCACAATTGTCTCCGAATTACTCGTGCTCCATTTTTATTTCGTCACGTGAGACACATTGAACGATTGAAAATCCTCAATATTCATAACAGTCACACAGCCGAGGTTATTTAAACCGTCACCGTTTCCGTTATCGTCCAACAGTCTCGTGCATCGAATGAATAAGGGATGTTTATGCCCGTTGCGTTTAACGCCAGCACGCCGGCGTTTAATGCATCGTCGGCGGTCGTCGCCGTGTTTCACGTGTATCAGATTCGTTGTAGGATAAAAAGCCTGCGCAAAAAGAAAAAAAGAAAGAGGCACGGGGCGAGGACGGACGGGGAAGAAATCACAAACGGCGCGGCGAAATGAATTATAAATCGCGCGGCGTGCGTGCCCGCGCGATTTTTGCGACGAGCAAGCGAGTGAGTGAGCAAGCGAGCGAACGAACGAACGGACGGACGGACTGAATCGAGAGAGACGAGATCCTAATCGCGAGGTCGGACAGACGTGATTGCTCGACGAGCTTCGTTCGCGGCCGGCCGCGATAAAATACCCGGCCGCTGTCCGACGACGCGGACTCGACGAGGCCGGGCTTTCGAAAGCGCCGATTAGCGATCAGGTCAGTTCGCGTAGCGGTATAACCGGCATTGTGCAGGTATTGCTCCTGATAACGCGATCGTGCAGCGCTTCCAGCGACATCGAGCTCCTCTGCATTTCGCGAGAACGCGCGTGCAAAAAGAGCATCTCAATCTGGAAAGGCTCAATCCGAACATGCAATCAGAATCGATAGGGAAAGAGTAATAGGCGAGTACTCTCTGCATTTCTTAGAGTGGAATCTCACTCAAAACGAGCGAAAAGCGGCAGTGTTTTCACTCGAAGTGACAGTGAAAATGTTGGCACTCGAAATCGCAAGAGCGAATGTCTCTCTCAAGCTTAGACTGCATTCTGGCTTCATATGAGCGAATGTTTCTATCGATTAAAACGAATGTATCCTTGTGACGGTCGAGTACATCGGATTCGTTCTTCAGACTCAAGAAAAATATTCATTCAACGATTCAGAGAGAATTCATTTAATATGAGAAAAAAATTGCTCAAAAAGTGATTTTAATTTATTTCCCGAGTGGAATTTCACCTCAAGAAATTTAGAGACTACTCTTTAAATTTCTTGAAGTGGAATTTCACTTAAAACGGATGAAAAATGTCAATGTTTTCACTCGAAGTAATAGTAAAAATACTCTCACTCGAAATTACAAGAGCGAATGTTTTCTTCATACTTAGAGTGGATTCTATATGAGCTGATTCAATCGATTAGAGTGAATATGTCCATGTGATAGTACAGTACATCAGTTTCGAATAAAAATATTCACTCGACGATTCATAAAAGAGAATTCACTCCATAGGGCAGAAAAATTGCTAAAATTTAAATAATTGTAGATTACTTTTTTAATAGAATTTTTTTGCATCAAATTGAGTCGATTAAATCAAATTAAATTAATTGAAGTATAAATTAAATTAAATTAAATTTAATTTAATTTAATTTAATTTATTGAAATGTAAATGATTTGAAACTTCTTCATAATTTATCAACAATCGCGTTCATGAGACATTTTCGTCCTATCTTAAATCTTGAATTCTATAACGTACAGTAGGAGCTAAGTTAGCAAAATAGGTTTAATTCTAATACAATTTACTTCTACTTTAATTCTGATGCTGTCCGAAATTTCCTTTTTCACTTTTTTAGCGTCAAAATAGGTGTTAAATGGAATAATGAGACTAAAACTAGAATCAAAATTTCGATTCGAGTAGGTTAAATAGAATTAAAAGAAATTGATGTAGGTTTCAGTGTATTAAAATAAGTATTGAATGGAATAGTAAGGCTGTGAAAGTAGGATCAAAATTCTAACTCGGGCAGTATTGACTCTTACTTGCCTTTATTTTACGTCATTATTCTGATTAAAAATCTTCGCTGTTCGCGATCTCATACTCGGTTTGCACGTAAATTGTAGGCACGCGCGCACACGCCAGGGTGACATTCGAGGTTACCGTCGTCGTGCCTTCTCCAGGCGAAGAAACGGAATAGCCGTTTCGCGCGAAACAAAGCGCTGATAATCCACGAAGTAAATCACTGGCTCGAAGGTCCCATCGCACTGATAAGAATCGCGCCTGGACATAAACTACGACTAATAACTGCTACTCGTTGTTTGGATAAATCTGTAATGCGCGTCCGCGACGAGCCGCATTCCTGCATAATTCATGCCCGACGCGCCGGCAGCGGGAATTTGTTACTCGTTTCCATAGATAACGGCGCGCGATGCAATTTCCCGTCAATCGTTACCGACGATGCTTATTTTGCGAATATGAGTTATCACGCGTCGCTTTCGGCGAGTCGAGGCGGGGGGAGTGGATGGGAGGCGAATGCGCCGCGACGCTTTGGACATATTTACAAATAAAAAAACATAGAAAGAAAGAAAAGGAAAACAGCTCGGCTGGAAGAGCCATAATTTTTTTGCGGACAACGCGTTAAATGCTAATGTCGACGCGAAAAAAATAAGATGGACGGCGGATGAGTCATCGTTTCGTCTCGAGCCTGATTAGTCGCGGATAATCAGGACTCGAGTAAGAAGATACTGTAAGTTATAAAAGACACACACTGTGCAGATGTTGTTCCTCTGCGTCCGTGATGAAAAAATGTGTACAATGGAAAAGTGCAAATTAGCGCGAGAGGTCGCGATTTCTCGGCAGGAAGTTGCCGATGATTCGCATCTCCCTTCGATTAAACGGATGTATTTTTACAAGTGGCGGCAATTTGGCGATATGACGCGGCAGCGTTTCTGCGTCGCTGTTGTCCGAGCGTCAAGTCGCCCACGATAAAGAGCCATGTCTTGTTTGTTGCGCGCGCGTGAGAATAAATCATAAGCGACGCGTACCGATTTCCTGCTACGCTCTTAATTCCCGCGATAACGGCGAAACGAAAATGTCGGAGAGAGAAGAGGAGAAAGGGAGGAAGGTAGAAAAAAAGATAGAGAGAGAGAGAGAGAAAAGAGAGAAGACATTCTGCAAATATATCGAGGAATGATTTACAGCGTTTACCGTGTCGACGTCGCGATTAATTAATATCGGTCGACGCGCCGACGCGAAAGACTGTTTAAGAGTATTCGCGCAGAACGGGTCAAATAAGAAGGGAGAATTTGGGAGGAAAACAGAGAGAAGATAAGTCCATAAGAGACCGCGGCTTGTTGCCGCAGATATTATTTCGCGCGCTAGTGTTCGATCATCGTCGTGGTTGCAGCTGCAACGTACACGAAGTAACGTACGTGTGAATATTAACTGACGATGTTTTCATATCCTTCGATGTGTGCAACGCGTTTAGGGGGCAGAGGGGAGTAGGGGACCAGAAAGAACGATAATAAACTGCACGGGCGTGTGCGATAATCGTGAACGTAATAACAAAAATCTTCGATTAATGATGAAGATTGATTGATTGATTCAACAGGCCCGGAGCACTTGTGGCAATGCCGAACTCTGTCGCTTTAACAGATTCGCCACGTCAACTACGTCATTTCTTAATTTCACACTTGAGAGTTGACGTGTTTGTGCACACGGGCGAAACTCGAATTCCGAGCCAGTGAGTCGCTCGTCCCTCTTTCCCCTCTTTTCTCTTACGTTGTCGAAGTTAATAAACGCGGCGACGCGAATAATTCTTCCTTGAATTATTCAACTGATCACGTCTGACTCACACAATGCTCTCGTTAACGTGGCTGTCAATCGGCGCGACTCTATTTAGAAGCCGGTCGGTTTCTATGCACGGCCGGCAGGTGTGATCGCGTTATCAGGACAGAATTTCCCGAATTCGATTCTGTCGAATTCCCGATGTGCTGCGTTGCCTCGCGCCGAGCACGGTCGACAACAAACAACGAGAGGATATCCGCCAATCAATGAGCCGAGCGGACCGAGATCGATCCATAACAAATGGGGCCTCGAATCTCGCGGTCGGTCGATCGTGTATTTGCTCGTTAATTACGAAAGTAACTCTCACCGTAGGTGAACACGCACGAAATCTCGAAAAACAATCATGAATCGTACGGGCACGATCCTTTCATCCGTGTGTGGACATATGCCGGGCCTTGATTAAGAACTGTGTGAACAAGTGTCGAATGTTCTTCCCCTTCGGTCTCCGAGATGGATTTCTGGGCTAAGTTATGGGCGTTGTCGATTGTATCCTCGGGCGACAACGAAAATAAGAATACATAAAAGATAAGACTATTCTTTTTTCTCTGTTTTTTACTTCCGAGTCGCAATTTTAGCCTCACTTTTGACTTCAGGACTTTCTAACATTCATATGTCCTGTAGGATTAGTGTATGTTTAATACTCGCGGAGACTAAAATCCTACTTAGCGCCTCTAAATGGTGCAAAACGTCTAGGTTCTAAAGAAGATCTCTGGGCGAAAATAGGAGGTTAAATAGAGTCAAAAGGTTTAATAGAGTCGAAGGAGGTTGATGCTTCAAAGTATCAAAGTAGATATTAAATAGAATATTAAGTATCAGAGTAGATATTAAATAGATATTAAATAGAATATAGAGGTCGTAAGTATGATCAAAATCTTGACTCGGGAAAATCGACAAACTCAGGTTGCAACAATGCACCGCGATAAAGTGATATCGCAGTAATAATTTCGACATTAACAGAGAAATTATCTAAAAAATAAGAAATATTTATTTGGTATTAATAACATATTATACTAATATATATTTTTTTCTATTGAGAGAAAATATTTGTTTACAAATAAGAAAGTTTATATTTTTCTAAAATCGTTGCTTTCCATAAAAGCAATTATTTTTATTATTTCTGTTTGAACAAAAGAATTTAGAATTAAGTAAATACGTTATTAGTACCCACCAAATAAATAATTTTTTATTTTTTAGATTTTCTTTCTTTTTTGCTGTATTTCAATCTACCATTGTATTTTAGTTTGAACAGGACTTCTGAGTCAAAATTTTGGTCCTATTTTTGACTTAAACTTTCTGACATCTATATTTGAAAAATTAATGTATATTTAATACATATATAAAAACTGAAGTCTTATTTAGCGCCTTTAAATGTCAGAAAACGCACAAAATGCCATTTGTATATCTTCTCGACAAAGCTAGCAGATTGAATAGAGAAAAGAGAATGATATAAGCTTCACAGTATCAAACTGAAAAACGTTAAATGGAATATTGAGGTCGAAAGTAAGATAAAAATAGCGATTCGGACTACAAGGGAACAATGAAATAACCTTGAATGCAATGTTATTTTATGCGTGCTCCCATGTTGTGCGAAAAACAGAGCAATTTCGTTAATGTTCCATATATCTTGAGTCGCGCGTGCAAATCGTCGTCGTATTTTGTTTGAAGCGCGCGAAGCTCGTACGATATTTTGAAGATTTGAAGACATGTGCTTGACGCGACTCTGCGGTCAATTATGCGCTCTGAAAGTACGACTATTCTAATGCGTCGTATTATGGTTATCATCGTGCATCTTATCACGGCATAACGTTCGTTCCAACGATACACGCATGTCACGAAGAACTCTTGTTTGCTTAAAACAGACGCATGTTGCTTCCATAAAAAAAAGCTTCCTATTTCGATGCTTACATTACCAGCGTTTTTGTTTAAACACGATGCGTGGAAAATAGTGGAATAATGGAAAAAGATACGTGAAAATATATGCGGAAAAATACACGAGCACTCACAAAAGAAAATATGTTTTTAGCACTTCCATGCGCGTGAGTTTTCTCGAAAATCGCCGGTCAAATCAGGAAGTTACTTATGAATCGTTTCCCCTAAACACTAAAAACAAATACTTGAAAATTTATTCATGGGTTATAAAGTTTATTCATAGAAATCAAATTCACATTTAACAGAAATAAACTTTATATCCCGTAAATGAATTTCCAAGTAGCTTTTTCTTAGTGTAATGTGAGTTCGTGAAAAAACAGAAAATCTAATTTCAAAAATATATTCGCTTTTCACAAATGGTTACATTGAAAGAGAATTTTCTCAATCGCCTCCAAGCATCGCGAAATTCTGTGCTTTTCATAATTCTATACTAGGGAAATCAATTACAAGTAAGATTGACAAGTAAGATTGAGTTTGCGTGAAAAAGATTCATGATTGACGCTCAGATATAAACAAGATAACCGGCGAAGGAAGATAGAAATGGTAGTTTTGCTCGAGAAACATATTGAAGCAAATTGCGCGAATAATCTGTGTCGAAATCAAAATCCGCGCCGACGAGTTATCTTCTTGCGAAATAATCATACAGAATCTCATGAAGAGAGCGGGTATGTATTGTATGTGACGAAAGTCACGACTATTGGTTTCTTGAAGGTACGACTTGGCTGTGACTCACGGAAGTCTGTTTCGACGAAAGTGTGACGGCGAGCTTGTCGTCGTTTGAATATTCAAGATAAATCGTCCATGAACACACGCACCGATAAAGCGCACCTCGACACCGATCGACCATCTTTCGCACGAAAGCATGCAAATCGATAAAATCGATTACTGTTCGCCGCGCGTGATAACGCGAACTGCGTGACCACCAAATTGAACATTCTCCGCACTACTATTAACAGCTGTTATTGATGAATTAGCGATCATTAATAGGCAATAACACGCCATTAGCAAACGCAGAGTATCAGCGGATTTACGTTTGTTTATACGCTTTGTCGTATAAAATATTCGAATGCCGGAATAGCCGAAACGTGCGTATAAAAAGAATGACATGGAGGAAAGCGATGTGGTGCTTTTGACAGATCGAAACACGACGAGAGTCAGGTGCAAAAATTGCAAAAAAACACAAACGACTATTTCTGACTTGTGATAAGAGCCGCGATTGACATCGCGGAAATTTACAAGCTGTTAAAATCTCAAATAATGCTTGATGTTATCGCATTAATTAACATCAAGTTCGCATCTCTTTTGTCCGAATAATCGACAGTGGAATTTTAGTCGGGATTATAATGGGTTTTCTGCGTAAATATAATTTTTATTTCGCCTTAATCAATCGTTGATTTTTCACGACTTGTTATTAATTCTCTAATTTCCTCATTAATATTTTGTTATACATTCTTTATTATATTAAATTCTCTGTTTCTCAAGGTTGCATTCCTGCTTGAGGAAAATTTTATTGAAAATATAAACGGGAAAAATGTTATAATTCTTCCTTTCATATTAATTCTTTTCAATTTAACTGTGTTTTTAATAGTCCATAGGAATAAACTGTCAGTAAAGTCTGTCTTGCTAAGAAATATAGTAAATTTCGCTGGAAACACAACAAATATTTTACAGCATATTTAAGTAATATAAGTAGCGCATATGAAATGAAAGTATAGAATGAATTACTGCAGAATGTCAATCTATTTTTTGATTACAAAGTCTTATAGTCAGTTCACGTGTACTACGAATTTTCAGTAAAATTTTTCTCAAAAAGGCGTTTTGATGCTTTTCGCGTTGATTTTAACGATGCAACCTAAAAAGGATTGGTCAGTTAACAAACGTCACATGTTATCGCGGATAGTACCGATATTTAAGGCTATTTTCGGCAGCGATTTTCACCAACGATATCAGATATTGCGCACGGAGACATGTTCTACAATGGATTGCAGAGCGGTTTAGACAATAAAGTTGACAGCTTACCAGGCTGTCAAAACTGAGAACCATCATTATTAACGGATCAATTATTACTGGTGTTATAACATCGTTAATTATATTATTAATCGCTTAATATGATTCATCGGCAGTGATTCGGAATTTTGACAGCTTGTCGAGCTCCCAACTCCATTGTGTCTGAACCGTTTTGCAAGCCACGCGATCAAACGTCTACTCACCGCACATTACGTCCAGATGTTGTGACGAACGATGCGCTAAAATTCCACGCCGCTCATGGAACCGCGCGCACTATTCCCGATCTGGATCCAACACTGCCTAGATTAGTTCGTCGCGAGTTACACAGATCGTCCGCGGCAAACGTCAAACTTCCAAACGTGGCACACGTCCTTTTCTCGCACAGGTTACGATCTCGCGCGTGAAACACGACCTCGGCGGCGAGCGCGTCCAAGAAACGCGGAATTGAGTATTCCCTCGGGCGACCTTGAGACTGGTCCCGTTCGCCACCGGACTACGACCGAGTCTCTTTCGGAGCCACGTGCTGCACCAAGGTCGAGCGCGGAGAACGTGTGTGAGCGCTACGATCTCTCTTCGTATCTCTCGGAATCTCCAACTCGAACTGAGAAAATTCGCCAACTTAAAGAAGGTTTCGACCTCCCCTGCGAGATCTTGAAGTCTCGCGGGCGATTTGATGATTTCCTCTTCTCTCTCTTGATCTCGTGATAAAAAGCCTGCACCACATATGACGAAGGTAACCAACGGGTGATAGTAGTCGATTACCAAGTGGTCCGACGACAGGTAGGCTGTCTGGACGATCAGCTCATGCGAAGGAGCTCTCTCGGAGTGTCCTGACTAAGAGCAGGACCCCGACTGACCCCAGTGTAGCCGAGGAGGGCACGCACGGTCTCGCGCGTGGAGGAGCGTGTGTTGTGCGTCGCGTCGGCTGGGTAGCTTCCCCTTACCTGGCTTCACTCGCCGGGTTTCACTCTTCTCTCACCTGCGCCGTGTTCACGAGCGCGTGTGCTACCTGGAGGCCACGCCTACCGACGTTGGCGCGCGACTACGTGCTGGTGCCCGTGGTGGGGTGCGCAGGGTGCAGAGGAGGGAGAGAGGACGACGCGCGCGTCTTCCCCCTTCGCATGGAAATCGCATAGTCCCCTGGAAACGCGCGATCGCGCGTATCTCTAACCCCACTACAATCGCCACCACGTCGTCGTCGTCGTCGTCGTTGTGTCGTCCCGGGGATGCTCTCCTAAACGTCGAGACCGGTGGGCGGTTTCCTGCGGAGCAGGAAGGAAGGGGCCGCGATGCAGGTGTTCCGGTATCAGTGTCGAACGAAATTTCAATAGCGGATTAATTGTCGCCGCGGAGAGACGGAGAGAGACAGAAGCAGAGAACGAAAAGAGAGAGAGAGAGAGGCTGAGAAAAAGATAGATAGAGGGAAAGGGAAAGAGCGGCTGGAATTAGCGCAGAGATGTTGGTACGATTCGGGGATGAAAGTGCACGTGTACCTACGCACGCGTACGCACACACACATGTGTTGAGATGACGCGAGCAGTTCCGTTATTTTGCACGACACGCGCCGTAGATCATCGGGCGAATAATTAGCGGACCGCGACGCCCCGCGCATAAATGATTGAGTATCGCGGCGCGTCCGGTGTTCTCGAATTCAAATTGCCTGTTTGTCAACGACGTTCCCCTTGATCGCACGTGTTAATAGCACGCAGCAGACGCCGGCAGTCTTGGGTTGCATGTGCGCAAGATTAAGTTACATAATGTGTTTATTTCGCCTGATTGTTGGGTCTTATCTAACAATTTGGTCACGTAACAGAAAGCAAGGGGTGTTTCTCTCGGAGAGGTAATAAAACTAATTCGGACACGTTGTTTGGGTCCATTTCCATCCTACGATATCTAACTTCAACCAAATCTTAAAATCTTAGACTGACTTTAGACCTCTGAACTTTCCAACACATGTATATTCTGAAAGATCAGTGTATATTTAATACACATAGGTATTGAAATCTTACTTAGCATCTTTAAATGGTAAAAAGCGCACAAAATGTATTTGTAGGTTCTAAAAAAGAACCTGTTGGCAAAGTTAGTAAGTATAATACCTGAATAGGAATTTTGATTCTACTTTCGATCTTAATACCTTATTTAACATCCACTTTAGTACTCTGAACTCTATATCAATCTGTTTTGATTTTATTTAACTTATAGCTTTATTAAGAATTCTTTTTTAGAACTTATCAGTGGCATTTTGTGCGTTTTCTGCCATTTAAAGATCCCAAATAGGACTTCAGTTTCTAATGTATATCAAACATATATTCCTTCAGAATATACAGATGTTAGAAATTCAAAAAGGACCTTTGAAAGCTAGGTGCAAGAAAGATAGAGGTCAAAGTAAAGTAGAGGTAAAGTAGTCAAAAGGTAAAGATAAATGTAGGTATGCAAACCAGTAAGAAATGTTAAACATTTCTCTGTTTATCATTATTTGTAACGGTCTTACTTATGACTGGTTTACCTATCTACATTTATCTTTACCTTTTGATTAGGCCTATTGTCCTATTGGCTTATTGACCTATTGTAACTAGGTTAAGTTCTGACACTGCAATCAACTGGAAAATGTTCTATTTTAATCTTTGAACTTTCACTATATTTTACAAAATTGATTGTGAAGTGGAGTGTTTTGCTTGAGAGCCCATGCAACAAACTTTCCATAACGTGTGAACATGGATTCAGTTACAATAGACCCAATTGCCCTTTCTTCACTAAAATCACTCTGTACCGAAATAATTAAATGCATCTATCACCGTAGTAACTTCGTTGTAATACATTGAAAAGGATCCAATGAAGGATCGAAACGTTTGTTGATGCGTTTTACGACTTAATAACATCTTTAATGTAATACATAACTTTGTAATTCAAATAAATTTGTGCACTTCTTTCTTGCACCTAGCTCTCATAGGCCCTTTTTGAACATAATTTTGTACATCTTAGAGCTTTTTATTGTAATTAAATAATAGATGTTAGAAAGTTTAGGTCCAAAATAGGGTTAAACTTTCGATTCGGATAGATTCAAAGAAATTAATATAAGCTTCAGAATATCAAAGTGGACATTAAATGGAATATTGATGTCTGAAGTAAAATCACAGAATTCGATTTGAGTTTTCATTGAATTGTACGATATCTGACTTTTATATTTCTGATCCACTACTATTATTATCACGCTGTTGTCACGCCTTTACTTTATCGGAATTTATACTTGCACTCATATTATAATTGGAGTAATAAGAAATTTCAGACGTTGAGCACATCAGACTGGCGAAATCCAAATTGTTACTTTCGATATTTCTTACTGAGATTTCGTATCATTGACAGTTGTATTTTTCCACATATATCGGAGTTATATCTTTTACCTTTTCTCTGACGTTAGAAGCGGTGACTGTATAACTAGTTTATGCATGTCTAAGGTCAGTGTCGAACGATTTATTTGCACTCGCGATAGCACAGAACGATTTTGCATATCTATTCGTTGTGCATTAACGTATATTATATACACAGCGAGGTGCATTCTTAATAGTGTACACAATTTTGCTTCAATAATAGATATGATTTACAAGTATAAGTCGCATAAAATGTGTGAGGTTTTTGGGCGCAGGAGGTGGCGGTCTGCCAACTCAAGCGTTTGCAAATACGTGTCTCCATGCAAGGTATATCGAAGTGTATTTTGCATATCTTATATATACTGATGCAAATACTCTTCGATCGCGAGTACAGTCGCGATATCTCATGCTCTACCATCACTACACGTCCATTTTAACTTGAGGCGAGTGCAGACGCGATTTTACTACGCCAATAGGCATTCCCCGGCGCGCGCACGAGATATCTGCCGTTAGATTTGATTCGGCAGAGACGTCAAGAGTAGGAGAGAGCGGAGAGGCAAACGCGTCGGCGCTGCCGGGATCGCTCTCTATTGGCTACCTCTCCTAGGAGAGGCGCAACGAGTCGAACGAATCTGCCGTATTCTAGACGAGCGTGAACACGTGCGCTTCTCGGAACACGTGTACTGGAAGAGGCAGTCTGAGCAATGTTACAGAATTGCAACCAAGATCTACGTCACAAAAATGCATACTAGAAGTCTCGAGGTATTCGTCTCCGGACTGATTTCTCTTGGTAACTTTTGGTAAACTAACTGACAGTTTAATCATGTCTTTGTCTAATTTAAAGGAAAAACGAAGACAGACATATAATTTAACTATTAGTTAGCGTACCAGGAAAAATCAGCTCTTCATGGGGTGAAGTCACATTAGGATAGCAATCATATCAGGATAGCATCTTTCCTCTAAAAGCTGGAATGTGCTCTCTAAATTTCTTGGAGTGAAATCTCATGCTAAATGAATGAAGAGTAACAGTATTTTTAGTCAAAACGATAGTGAAGATACTGTCTCGAAATAGTAAAAATGAATATTCCACTCAAGCTTAAAACAGGCTTTGACTTTATATGAGGGAATGTTTTAATTGATTAGAATGAATAAATCTCTATGAAAGTGAAGTATATCCAATTCACTCTTTAATTTTAAAAATATTCATTCGACGATTCAGAGTGAAGAATTCACTCTATATAAGTGAAAAACTCGAATTCGAATGACTTGGTGGTCACTCTATTTTTTAAGTGAAATTTTATTCCAAGAAATTTAGAGTGGAAGATGAAAAGTTTCACGCAACTTCAATGATTTTCACTAATTGTGTAACTTGTATTTTTCATGAAATTTTTATTTTTTACTTTCTTACTCCTAAAGGAAAATTACACAATTGCTATTTTGTGTGTCTGCATCGAGATAACTAACGTAGGGTAGAAATATCTTTTGTTTTACGTTAGACATAGCAAGAAGGAGGATGTCTTGTACAAGTACAAGACATCCTCTGACAATGTTGAACACAATGTTAATAAGGAGTTTAGGTGTGTGCATATGTTTAAATATACAGCCGCGGTATAAGTTACGGTGGGCTGACAGTCTATTAAATATATATCGCTGTAGACGTCGCAGCCGACATCATTGTAACGGCTGTCATCTGGGAACTGTTGGATTTAGGTCAAGATTGTGTATCATTCGTTATCGACAACGTGACATCGCCGCCGGGACACGCGTCTGTCTTATGGCTAAACGATTATCGCTTGATTATCAGATAATGCTCGCTCGATCATTTGAATAGCGATCGAATCATTCTCTGATCAGATTGATCGCGTAATTACATGGATCAAACGAGGTTTTTTTCTTGGAAGACGAAAACGCGCAACTTCCCGTGATAGAAGTAGTCTTATCTTCCTTCTTTTTTTTATCAACACGAATTGTACTGAGAACTTTATGCTCAAATTCTAAACATAGAGTTCTAATGAGATAAAAAAAGTGAAGAGATAAAACTAGTTGGCACCGTGACTCAATTTAAATTTCTGTATAACAGGTAAAACGCTGAGCAACTTTGGACGTCACTTACTTCATAACTTGTAACTATGTATGAGCTCGAAATATATTACAAGTAATGCCAATGTCAGCAAAATTGTACGACTCAAGGACAATGTGGTGGTAATGATAAAGTAATTGTGGTAGGTCTGTTTCTGAAGCCGGTAAAAGTGGAAATTTCATACGCGCGATAGTGTAGTATCGCGGGGTGAAAGGATAATAGAAATTAAACGAAACGATACGGGAGCAAAGCGCGCATTGGCTACGCGCGGGCACGTTTAATTTCTCTACATCGACAACGGCGTAAGATAGTCTGTAATTGCTGCGACTGTCTGTGAGCGCAATTTCACGTAATGCAAAAAATAGACTTAATAACTGCGAAAAATGGACCAATTATTTTTGCAATGATGAAACATCGGACGTCTCTATTATCGCATACGTGAGCGTTTAGAACTTGAAAATTGTTTTAGCGGGCATATTT